CAAAAACTGCAACACATAATTAATAATAATATGAATGTAGAAAGACAGTATAATAGTATTTTCTTGCGAAACATACTCCAATAATCATTTTTATTAGTGCTGTCAAACGATTAATCACATCCAAAATAAAAGTTTTTCTTTACACAATATATGTGTATACTGTACATATTTATTATGTATATATATACAAACACATGCATATATATATTTATGAAAAATATGTTTATATATTAAATATATTTATATATAATATACAATATAAGAATGAATAGCAGCTCAGATCATTTGTTCTAGGACGAATTTGAGAAATGTTTTAGTTCATATTGAGATCTTTAATTTGGCTTGCAGACTTTTGTCACTTTGTGAAACATGAGTTAACATGAATGTTTTCTGGATAAATGTTCTCAAAACGTCTCCTGTTCTGCTTCCAGCCTCAAGACGGCTACCGTCTGGTCCAACATTTCCAGTATATTGGTTGGCCAGCGTACAGAGACACGCCGCTGTCCAAACGCTCCATTCTGCAGCTGGTCAGACGACTGGCCAAGTGGCAGGAGCAGTATGACGGAGGAGACGGACGCACGGTGGTCCACTGTCTGTGAGTGTGACCTCCACAACCCCAGCTCCATCACAATACAAAGCTGTTATACATAAACCCATAAACATGTTAACATATGAATGAATGAGTCTTGCTTGGAGAAACCCTGTGATGAGCAGATTGGACAATATTAATAGACACATAGCAAAACACATCGCAGGATAATATTGTGGTGTGTGCAGTATAAACCTGGGCCCGTATTCACAAAACATTTTATCTTACCACTAAGAGTTCTCCTAAATAGCAGCAAAAGTTTTTAGCTAAGAGTTTTCTCTTAAAACCTATTCACAAAGCTGCTGAGACAAACTTTTACTAAGGAATAGAGAGATTTGTCCGTCACGGACTGCATGATTTCGCCACTTCAGATGGAATTTTTTTTTTCTGCGACTAATACAATTTTGGTAACATGCATATAAACAGCCTTTTAATTAGCAGAGTAGAATAATCTCATGGCTGATAGTAAGACATGCAAACATAAAAGAAAAGCAAACTGGACGCGAGAACAGCTACATATTAAGGATATAATCAAAAATTTGGAGTTGGGATAACCTCCAAACCAAAGCCGATACCTGGTAAAGACGCTGAGGAACAACAAAGCCAACATGGTGGAGACAATGGTGAGCTATACACAGATCTATCACTATATCTGTTTGTTAGTATGTTTTCAGTTGTTCAGTTTCAGTGTACTTGTCTGTTTATTGGTATGTTCACATAAATTAGTGTTTTTATTTACATTGTGTTTAGTGTCAATTTACACTACCGTTCAAAAGTCTGGGGTCAGTAAGATTCAGCAAGGCTGCATTAAATTGATCAAAAGTCACAAAGAGATTTATAATGTTATAAAATATTTCTATTTCAAATAATTATGTTCATTTGAACTTTTTATTCATCACAAAAATAACTAAAAAAAAAATATTATGTAATATATGTATATTAAAGTAAATCAGCATATTAGAATTATGATTTCTGAAAGATCGTGTGCTACTGTAGACTGGAGTAATGATGCTGAAGATTCAGCTTTACCATCACAGGCATAAATTACAATTTCAAGTATATTGCAATAGAAAACAGTTATTTTAAAATGTAAATAGTTTTTTTTTTATCAAATAAATGCAGCCTTGGTGAGCAAAATAGACTTCTTTCAAAGTAAAATAAAAAAAAAAATCCTTCCAACCTCAAACTTTTGAACAGCAGTGCAGATTAATGTTTTTAGTAATTTTGTGTTCAATTTATGTGTATTAATATATTGCTTGATACTTTAATATATATATAAAAAAAAAACTTAACATGTAATCTTGATATATGATATAGCTTTACTGAAGTTACTTTTTGTTAGTAACTTGTACTTTATGTAACTATTTGTAAAGTGTAGTTAAAGACCCTGTTTATTCACTTTTCTTTCCTCTATTCATGTTTCAAAGGAAATAGGAAGTTTAAATGGTCCTTTTTAAAATAAATTAATATAACCAATGGGCTTTAGTTACATTACAGCCATTAACATGAGTTGCCACTTGTTTGCTAGTCATTTGCAGATGGTATAATTTCTTTCTCTAGACTAGTTCCAATTACAAGTGGGAACATTTAATTTTTTGTTTACCACCATATGATTCCATCCTCATCTTTCTCAGTTCTTCAGATTAAGGCTGTTGAGTGGTTACATATTCAGATAGTCGCTATCTTCAGGTAGTTTGTTGATGGTTCCAAGCAACAGTTCCTTGAGCCTTCCCAGCATCTCTCTGAGACAGAAAAAGAGTGTAATTATTCGGTCACTTCAAACCCTTGAGACAGACAGCTGCGTTTTCTGCAATTCTGAGAGAACGTCTTGCGTCTAATAGAATGCTGCTGCAGGTGCAAGCAGACATTTATCCTGCCCCTTATCCCCTGACTGCACTCCAAACATCTCGCTCAGCTGGAGAGAACTGAAAAACTCCACAGCTGGCTGTCTGATACGATCCTGGACCAAAATAGGACTAACGTCAGGTTACCCATGGCCATTAGCCTGGAAAAGAAATGTATCTATTAATAACTTCATGAAAATTTATTTAGTGATTTTTCTTTTTATTTGTACTCCAAAAAGATTTTATCAGCTAGAAATTCCTATTTGTGAGTGCAGTCTCTTGAATGAATGAATTTATTTATTTTCATTCATTTTATTTATTTTATTAGATTCGTAATTATTATTGATTTATTTTTAATGATTATAGCTAATTCATTTCCTCTAAGGCTGTCTGCTCTAGGTTGGTTGGGAAGAGATTGATTGCATTGATTTTTATAAAATAATTCTTTAAAAAAAAAAAGTCATCAACTAGACATTGCGATTTATGCTTGTGATCTCTATTATGAACATGCCGTTATAATAAACAATGTTAACAAACTTTATAAAAGTGGCATTATAAAAATGATTTTAATTACCATATACACCCAGGCCAGGTATAGGGACCCTCTGACATCTAGATGACTGATGAGTCTGTTTCTCTATCATAAGCAGATGTTTTTCTTCTAGTAAAAGTGACTGTATAATGATGGGATTGGATTATTAACGCAGGGGTTATAGGGAAAGTCCCCCTTGAGCGGCGTCTGCTTTTGAACTGCTAATGCATTTTTGCTACTGCTTCTGTTTTTGTTTAGGAGCAGTACAAATTCTGTTACGAGGTGGCTCTGGAGAGCTTGAATGCCTTCTGAACGTACGAAAGGTGAAGAAGGGGAAAAAAACCATGCAACGCAATCTTCTCTTCTTCCTCAGAATGGCATCTCATCGTTCAGTCTTTCCTCTGAGCTTCTGTGATGAGAACAGGAAAAAATCTAAACAAAGCTTGAGCGAATTTGCAGAGAAACGTGAGGACGGATATTTTTGTTATTCTGATGATTTTTGTGGTTCCTTCCTTTGATGCGTTTTCACTCTGCCTGCTTTCTCTCACACGTACACCGCTCGCCTACAGACCAGCGTAAAGATTCTTCAAAGGTTGGAAGTTTTGGGTAATATTTGTTCTATTGCCGTTTCGGTCTTTTCTTTTAGTGTTTGTTCTTTCTAAAAATAGACGTTGCCATTTTGGTTTCTTGATGTTGGCAGTGAATGTTAAAGATTAAATATGCATCTGAAGTATTTTCCGTTTGTCATTTGCACTTTATGTTACCACCAAGGGTGAATCTCACAAATAACTACTGTATAATGAGAAATTATATTTAGCATCAAGATAATGGAGGCTATTTTAAGACCATTAATTGCCTAATTGTCAATAGTCTATTGTAAGGTTTAAAAAAAAAAAAAAAAAAAAAAAAAAAAAAAATGTGCAAGGAACAGACCCGTCACAACTTCACTCTGAGCGGGAATTGCTCAAAGTCACAGACTTTAATGAAACAAACAAACAAACAAACGGAATACCGCTATGGAACTCAGGAAGACATTCAACGGCGAACATAGGACACTGGAAACACTGGGTTTATATAACAAGGAGCTAAACGATAACCAGCTGAATCAAATAGAACAAAACGAGAACAGGAAACAGGTTCCAACAAAGAACTTGGAACCATTTAAATAAAAAATGTAATTTATAAACTCCGCTATGAATCTACGGCAATCATCAGGAGTCAGAACTCTGAACAAATTATCATATTTTAGTCCCATCCGGAAGCACGCATTAATCATAGAATCGCTCCATCTCACCAGGTGTATCACACTCAGGAACTCCTCCACATACTGCTCCAAAGGCCGTCCCTCCTGCTGGAAATCAAAGAGATAGTCCTCAGCCCAGTTCATCTTGTTAACAAGGTTCGGCATTCTGTCACAACTTCACTCAGAGCGGGGAGACGCGGGAATTGCTCAAAGTCACAGTCTTTAATGAACGAACGAACAAACAAACAAACGGAATACCACTATGGAACTCAGGAGGACATTCAACGCCGAACATAGGACACTGGAAACACTGGGTTTATATAACGAGGAACTAAACGATAGCCAGCTGAATCAAACAAAACGAGAACAGGAAACAGGAACACCAAATAAGGACATGTCACACATGAGGAAACTAGGTCAGGGGGAGCACGTGAAGACGGAAAACACACACAGACAGTCTAACAGGTGTGAAATTTACAACTAAATTGGACTAAAAGCAGTGGCTATCAAAAGCTATGAAAAGGACAAAAAAGTATTTTCAGTGAAAATGACTTAAATTAAGGGAAACGGAAATGATGTAGGCAAGACTCAAACTATTTCCCTGTTAGGTTTAATACATTTTGTTTTTTTTTACTTTCTAATCATAGAAGAATCCTGTAAAAAAAAGTTTTGCTGTAAATGTAACTACAATATTACGTTTTACTGTATTAAATTCAGCCTTGGTGAGCATAAGAGACTTCTTTCAAAAACATATATACAGTATCTCACTGCCATCTGTAATCAGAAGCACATATAAAACTGGAATATTATTTAATTTCATTCACATGTGTTTCATAAACGCAATCCTTTCTGGATTACAATCCGCCATCAAAATGATACATTTAATTATTCCAGCTGCTTTGAGAAAAGGCTATAAACGATTTTCCACTTGCAGGATCCTCAAATGCGATAGCCTAGTAGACAACTTCTTGACTGCAGCTTTAAGGGAGCTTTCCATTTTATCATTTTGCAAACTGAATGTTCTGAAACAAGTAGTAACATTAAAAACATTTTAGATGAATTTCCAACTAAAATGTTTGAGAAACAAAATTCCATGAACAATGTATAAATAATGTTTTTAAGCTAATGTTTTGAGAGCATTATTATTTAGAACAACAACTTGGAACAGACATTTTATTAATGTAATTTTAAGAATGTTTGTTCCTAACTTTGAGAACCTTGCAAGAATGTTATCCGAAGTTCTGAGTACATTCATTGTTAGCTGGGTTGGACTGCAAAAAAAAAAAAAGAAAA